CTGTATTTTTGAGTAGAAATATGCGATCAAATACTCACAAAATTCGACTGCATTAATGTTGGTTGAATCTAGTTTAAAGTTATCTTTTTAGACGAACTGTTTATGCAAATTTGGGCACAATTTCGACTGTTTTCGTAACCCCATTGTTGGTCTTCTTGTTCAAGTTGTTATTTTAGCTAAAGTATGTTTCAAACGACACCAGATTAAATTACTGTGTGCGTACGTGCCCTATTTGGCAAGAATACTTAGAGTATTAAATTACACTAAGTAAGTAGGGTACTCCAAAATCACTGTTATATCTATTTTCATCAATTTAGTCTTAAAATGACAACTCGTTTCAGACATATTGTGGTTTGAAATAAGTGTATTGAATTAATGCACTTGCTTGCCGCGTGCGAATTCTCAAAAAGTCCGCACTTGAGTTCTAATGCTTTTAAAATGCTTTTTGTATTGGGTTTTATATCCCCATAAAACTTTAAATCGATAAGGCAGATAGTAATGTTGATCCAACCTCATTTTCTAGTAACTACATGTTGAATCAGAAGGAAAAGTTATCAAAACTTAGTCGCGGCGGTTGTTTGCCGTTGTTGTCGTTTCTCTCTGAAATGGCTTCCTTTGCGGGAAGCCATGAAACTGAAGTCCCAACAAAAACATAATTTAGCCGTCCTTTCGGGCCCATTGCTCGCTTATTTATCATGAAATCGTTTCACTAGAACATTTTTAATAATGTCTATGGGAAACTTTGTAATTTTCTGAACTAAAAGTTTATGGTTTTGAGGTGTTTATTTTATAAAATAGCACGCGCGACAAAATGGCACTAATGTGGTTTCTCATGTCTGACAAACAACCAAAGATGAAAGTCCTTATTTCACCCTTTTATAGCTATGTTGAATACCTGACTATTAGGTTATCTTTTTCATTTGAGCATACAGATAACATTTCTACACAATTAGTCCTAATGAAAGCTTATTTCAAACTAAAAAAAAGCGATTGTTTTTCAGAGCCAGACTTCAAAAGAGAACGCGTGTCTGACATTTTATAGCAGCCTACATTGGCGCGCAAAATAATTTTGGCTAAAAACCGTTTCTTTCCAAACAGAAACATGAGAAAATTGAGCTAAAAGGCTTACCTGATGTATGTTTAAAATGTTTTTCTCTTTATGGTGTTTTTCAGTGCTTTGAGTAGAGAAGTGAATAACTTTTGGTTTTGTCACCGCAATTTGCCTTTGAAAATGTCGGCTGTCATTGTCTGTGTTAAAAACACCTCAGAAAATTCCTATTTTCTCACCTTCCCATCCTTGGTTTATATTGAAAACAAATAGATTCTAGTACCGTATGTCCTTTTAAATATATTTGAGGTAATTAAAAACTCCAAAGATGTACAAGCACTGTGTTTTGGCTTGCACACTTTGTTGAATTTTAACACTTAGTTACTGTTCTAAATTTCATGTTGTAAACATCTTGCCCAAAAAAGCAAAGGAGTATTTTTTATAATTTTTGATCATTTTCTAATTCATATCCCAATAGATGAAAACTGGTTATAATATAGATATGTACTAATTTAGTAAATAATTTTTTTTTTGGTTTTTATATAAATATATGGAGATATTGCCCCTTTAGGTGATGAGTGACATGAAAAAAATAGTGTCACTGGTTTACAAATAAAAATTCTCATTGAAAAAACTAATGATATATATATAGGTATGCAAGTTCATTTAAACTAAATTTGGTCAATCATATATTAATAATATTTGGTTGAAAAGACCAGATTTTTTCATGCAACTGTTTCTGAGATATTGCCATTTTGGTGAAAGCTCTTGAATTCAGTCACGTATTCGCCATATTGCTTGGACGTTAGGGGGGTAGAAACATTGTAACAGCTTGGGCGTTAATGAGTTAAGAACGGAGCAACAATATATTATATATTGATATATTGCGTGGTTCCTTAAGAACGGAGCAACAATATATTATATTGATATATTGCATGGTTCTTTAAGAATGGAGCAACAATATATTATATTGATATATTGCGTGGTTCCTTAAGAACGGAGCAACAATATATTATATTGATATATTGTGTGGTTCCTTAAGAACGGAGCAACAATATATTATATTGATATATTGTGTGGTTCCTTAAGAACGGAGCAACAATATATTATATTGATAGTATTGCATGGTTCCTTAAGAACAGAGCAACAATATATTATATTGATATATTGCGTGGTTCCTTAAGAATGGAGCAACAATATATTATATTCATATATTGCGTGGTTCCTTAAGAACGGAGCGACAATATATTATATTCATATATTGTGTGGTTCCTTAAGAACGGAGCAACAATATATTATATTGACAGTATTGCGTGGTTCCTTAAGAACGGAGCAACAATATATTATATTCATATATTGCGTGGTTCCTTAAGAACGGAGCAACAATATATTATATTGATATATTGCGTGGTTCCTTAAGAACGGAGCAACAATATATTATATTCATATATTGCATTGTTCCTTAAGAACGGAGCGACAATATATTATATTGATATATTGCGTGGTTCCTTAAGAACGGAGCAACAATATATTATATTCATATATTGCGTGGTTTCCTATTTTAGGTCGACCTGTAAATCATTCATTTTCACGAACCGTATACGCTTCGTACGGTCCGTAAAGCCATTTCACGGACCGTACGGATTTGTCGGATCGTGAATCGTCTTACGAGCCGTATGAACGGTACGATCCGTCGAACTGTTGGTAGATCTGGGCAACAAGCATTCCCTATTGGAGACCACCTATTGCGTTTAAGAGTTGATACGGATCGTGACTCGTGTTTACGGTCCGTACGAATTTGACGGATCGCGAAGCAGCTTCATGATCCGTATCATGTCGACAGTATTGGACATGTATGCGCGCACTGGGCTGAGTTAAGGAGTTTCCTATCCTTCCCTTCCACCATCTATGGGCTGATCTTGGATAGGTGGAATTTGATGCGCTAAATCATGTCTGACATTTGTGAAATGTTCATTGAATAATTCAGCTATTTCACTGAGTTGTGTATAATTATTGTCATTAACCATGATACTCTCAATTATAGTATTTTTTATATGTTGCCTAGTATGCTATTTATTATTTTCCAAGTTGCTTTTGAGTTACCTTTACTTGTATTAATATTCGAGATATAATAATTTCACTTCGCATCCCAAATTTTATTGTTTGTTTTATTCCGTACGTTTTGGTAAAGCTCCCAAGAGCGACTAGTTTTTTAAGATTTTTAAGCAATTGTTCAAATTTGCTCATAATACTGCTTTCAAATGATGGTGGACGATACCAAGTAGTTATAGGGAAGATTTTTGACTTGGTTTCTTGATCTCAACTGTTAGTGTTTCAAGGTCAACGTAACATAAATCAGAATGAACCTTAAAAGCAATGTTGTTTTTTATATAGAACGCCACACCGCCACCATGTCCGTCTTTACAGACAATTGTATAGCCTTGTATTTTGATATCTGTGATGTTGTTGTTTAAGTGACTCTCATTTATAGCAAGTACTTAGAATGGATTGTTTGTCATTACAACTGTTAACTCATCTATATGTTTTCGAAGACTTGTAATATTTAAAGCTGCAATTTTAAAGCCCTTTTTTATTTCATTTCATTATAAAAGGGGTTTAGAGTTTCATTAGAAGAAAAATAGTGATTGTTATTATTAATTTCTACTGGAGCAGTGGCTGCATTTCAACTAGGCATTAAATAATTTATAAAATTATTGGTCATGAACTCATTCCCTGAGTGCAACAAATGTATACCACCTCTATTTAGTTTTTCAGTTGTTATATTCAAGTGGTTAATTACATGTACGGTAAGTTTTTTGTTTACATAATCTAGCTAAAAAAACATTAGTACATCTTTCTTGTTTAAAACTGGGTCTCTTCTACATACCAATTCTGAAATAACCACATTTGCTTCTGTGCTTGACTTAATTTGTTGCGCGAGGTCAACAATCCTGTTTGCAACTGCTTCTGGTTCAGAATTGCGTAAATCGTTCGGACCACAGTGTAGAAGCATTTGATCAGGTGCTTGAAGAATACTTGGTTTGCTGTAATGAACCATGTCACTTGTACGGGCGCCTGAAAAGGCTTTAACAACCACACAGTGTCCAGCTGCTTTACTGATATCCCATCCTTTCTGGTGCTTGACCATTGAATCGCAGACTACGATTGAAGTTTTTTGTTTACGATTTTTTTGTTGTTGTATAATATTTTGCTTTCTATGCACATGTCTTTCACCGGACAGAGAATGTTCTGTAGCATGATTTAGAGACTTAGAGGTTTCACTGCTGACACTAGAATCCGAGTTACAATTTGTGGTCATATCATTCTCATCCTGGAGGCCTTCGAATCTGTTTGTCAATGGAAGTTCGGACTCTTTGCTTTTGCGTAGTTGTAGGCCTATTAGGTCTTTCTTCGGGAGAGGATTTTTTAGCTTTGTTTGTCTCCTCGTGCATAACGTTGCTATGCCTGGGAATTTCATCATATTGTTGCATGACTAAAGTTAATGCAAGTCTTAGCAAATCCCTTTCTTCCTCGGCTTTAGATGTCTTTGTCTTAATATAATGGATAGTTCTATTGAGTTCTTCGACTTCAGCATTTTGTGCATTTTTTATCAACTGAATATTTTGTTGAAGTTCTTCACAATGTTTTTTGGTCACCAGTTGCTCTGATTCTAAACCATTTTCTTGTCTAAATGTAATTGATTCTATCTTTTTATTTAAAATTACTAAGTCGAGTTTAATACCTTCCAATTCGGTAGCTACAATCTGCACGGGCATTTGCAATGAGAGTCCATATACTTTGACATATTTAAATTCACAATCAATGATTGTGCACTGCTTTGCTGACTGTTTTCATGGTCATTCACATTTTTATCCAGAGTAGGACTAACTTGATCCAGAGTAGGACTAATTTGATCCAGAGTAGGAATAACTTGAGTCGATTGTAGAGGACTCAAAGATGAAGGGGACGCCTGTTGTTGATGTGTTAATGGCGGTGGACACGACTGTTGTTTAGCTGTCTCAAAAACTCACCGCTTCTTTCTACATTGTCATAACATTGCTTGTTAAACTTTCCTTTAAAATCGGACCATTGTTGCCTTGGAACAACAGAGTTTGTTGCTTCTTGAAGTACCATGTAGCCATGACATTGAAGTTAGTACATTTGAACTTTTTCGAGTTTCCTCCTGGTGATATGCACTTGCCCTTTAGGCCTAACTTTTCTTTAAAGAATAATTTTAATGCTTCAAGATCACTTGACCATTTTAAATGCTCACCTTTGTATCCTAAATTACATAATGCAATATCTTGAGGCAATAGATCTTTATAAAACTGAATAACACTAAAATTAGTGGAGTCAGAAAATTTGTGATCGCTCGCCATGACTCTTGGACTTATGAAAGAGTAAATGATACACAAACACATCAATCTTAATTTTTTAATGCAAAAAATTGATATAAATATTAATAAATACTAATTAATGTTGCAAATATAAATATGAGAAATTGGTTATACTAAACATTACAAATCAATTATAGTTTACACCTATTGTGCCAAATTAATCGTTCTACCTACATCCAATGCCATATGATGCATCCTACTTTATTATTTTGCTCTGTCTAACTCCAGACAATTTTACTTGTCAAGGGGAGAATGCTGGCTCTGAATGTGTTAACTAGCCTACCTTCCAATATATGTGTCTAGCTAACCCATTGAATCGCATTGCGCCCTACTTTATTATTTTATTCTAAATATGCCAACACAGCAGCTTTTGCAGTTAATTATTAACCTTTCAATGACCAACACTCATTTTGATGAGTAAAATCATCTGATAATTAAATATCAAAGTGCTGAAAGTGGGGATTGAGTGTTACATAACAAACAATAAGTATGATATTTATTAAATGTTGTTGCTTTTCTTTTGAATTACATATCGCTCAAAACTTGCTACTAAATTTTTAAGAGAAACATCAGCTTTCTGATTGGACACTTTAAGGTATAATATATATATTCTATCCTTAAAATATATAGTATATATCTTATACAAACTATTTAGTTTTTTATATACAGCATGCTGGGTTTTACTGCATGTATACAACTGCGGTGGTGCTGTGTCTCTGGGGACGAGGATGTGATGAACATTCGATGACATCCGAAATCTGCGAAATAGTGATTATAAATCTTTTTAGTTAATGATAGTTGACATTATGTAATATTGAGTAATACACTTGTTTTCTCATTAATGCATTGAGTCGTTATTATCGCAGTCAATCGTACTTTACATTAATACTACTGTGGCATCCAGAAAACTCTTCTTTGCCCCTCTCTGTGGACCTGCTCACGGTGCTGCATCCTGCACAAGTAAGGAGCTGAAACAAAATCATAATAACTATGAAATAAGCATAAAACATACTACGAATAGAATGCTTCCATCTTAAAGTTGCAGAGTTTGTTTTATACTTTATTTCATGAAGTTATCGGCTGGCCGTTTCCAAATGGATTTTAGAAAAACACCATCCATACTCTGTGTTTTACAGTGCATACCTTGCAAGGCCTTTCATCCCGTTTTCAGGCCCCATGCACCATTATTCTCTTGAGCAACACAGTCAGGAAGTACATGTAGTGGTGTTGTCTGCGCCCATCCAGCCAGGACGCACTGCTCTGCGAACATCCAGCGTTGCAGAATGGCCTCCGTCTCTCCTACCCAAACGCTGAGAACGGCAGACGTCCATACTGGTTGACGTCAAGGAGAAGTTGTTCTTCATCACCATCTTGCCGCAGTCGCCTCATCCTCGATTCCAGCCACTGTCTTCCTTGCTCGGCATAATGTATTAGGCAGGCAGCCTCGGGACAGACCTAGAATGAGATGAGTCATGCGCATGTAATATTTACCTTACCCAGCTGAGGGTGGCGGCACACATCTTATTTCATTATAGGGGTGCACCGGATTTGGAATTTTCGAATCCGGCCGGAACTGGATTTGGACAAAAATTCCAGCCGGAGTTGAGATCAACCGGTGATGGGGACAATTGGAATAATTTAGTATTCAAAATGGCGGTTTATGTTTTTTACTATTTTTAGTTAGTGTCAGTTTAGATTTTTGATTGTGTTTAAACCTTTTTTAACTATCTTCTTGTTAATAACTTAATATTTTATAATAATGTAAGTGTTTTTTAAACTTCAAAGCTGCCAAATTGATGGTTTATCCCATTCTTGGTGAATTTTTTAAGGCGAAAACAGAAATTTAAATCTGGCCGGATTTTCTCCAAATACGTCCGGATGCCGGAAAATTTGTTAAATCCGGCCGGATTTTAAATCTGGTGGTGCACCCCTATTTCATTATGCACGGGTGCTGCAAATAGTACTATACTAGGCGTGCGTTGTTACCTCATGGGTGTCATAACCAACAATTCTGCATCTATGTTGTGTGCCAGGCAGTTGTTCACGCCCGCCAATCTTGCATTCAATATTTTGCAAGAGCAAAGTAGACAGTGCTTTGTTCACTTCGACATCACAGTCATCCAGTGAAAACGATCGTAACTCTGCTAAAACCATCTCCTCAGGAAATTATGTCTCCAGATGCAAGCGCTGCACCTTAAAAAAATAGTACCATATTAGGTATTAAAATAATTAATGCACTGTGTTGCTGCAAGATATGGATCGATCTTATAATGTATGTGAAAACTTACTTGTGCATCTGTGCCTGAGCTGCAATGACAGAGTGTGGTACTGGGTCGCTATTATCTACAAGTTGCCTGCACAAACTGATTATGTCTTTCACTCCACCAGGGCGAGACCCTGCTGCATAGCTGATATCGAGTAATGCCAACCATGGCATTCCTGGGCTTCACGGTGTCCTCTGCTCTGCTATCCACCTGGATACATGGAAATGCCTTTGGTTGGCAATATCACCGGTGACACTGCTTGGTGAGGTTCAGGTGGATAAGGAGGATTGGGAACTTGGGTTGAGGGCGGCCATTTCCCACATGGACCAGAGCACAGGTGGCCCAATCTTACCCTGTGTTATTAATTTATTATGTTATATCTTTATATAAATAGTATATTGAAAATCATTGATTTTCAATATACTATTTATATAAAGATATAACGTAATAAATTAATAACACAGGGTAAGATTGGGCCGCCTGTGACCAGAGGTGCCTGATGAGATCTTGTTCAAGGCCTTCGGCATGAGGAGGTAGAACCAGTTGCATGTTAGACAAGGTAAGATGTTGTTCCATTGTTCTTAATTGTAGGTGCGGCTCTACCATGTGCGCCAAGTCAGCTCTGCAACCACATTATTGACGCCCATCTCCTCTCCGTCCAAGCAGTGCTTCCATTTTCAGAAAACATAATTTCCTTCCAACTGTTCAAAATTTCCTTTTTTTTTACAAAATTTCCTTGCAATAAAATTTTTGAATTTTACCCTAATTTAAAACTGATTCTATAGTAATTTATCTCAAATAACAGGGTATTTGTTGTTCTAGAAGGAACATAGACGTTGCAGGGGCTAAATTATCAAAGGGGAGAGACAAAGAGTTTACCTAGATATTAACATGAAGGAGAATAACCAGGGGGTCCTCCAGAAAATTTTCAGATTTTGCATCTCACAGGATATTGCCGTATTTTTAGGATTTTTTAGAAGTAAGGCAAATTCCTTTGCATTTCCTTCAATCTTCCAAAATTTCCTTCAAATTTCCTTCAGATTCGAATTTCGAAACAACTTTCTTCAACTAGTTAAAATTTCCTTCAAAATGGAAGTGCTGCATCCAAGTTGCCTTCGTCGTCTTCTCAGGTTGTACGACGGTCTTCCACCATCTGCACCACCATCTCCATCTCCACCACCATCTCCACCACCATCCGCACCACCCCCTGTTCTGCAGCTGTCGCCCCATGCCTTAAGGTCAAAGGTGTCTACCAACTTTCTATGTGCTCTCGGTCCAATGTCCTGGACTTGTAACAACATGATGGGATTCTTGTGAGAGTCAAGCTACGTGACAAGAAACCCAACATCTGTGTACAAAGAGAGTGTGTTTCTATTGCAGAACCCACCAGCCAGCAATAACCAACAACACGCCATCATCAAAGCGACTGCAGAAGCATTCTAACAAGCGCAACACATCCTACACCACTGCCACAACATTCCCTCGCCCTCACCAATAGTCCAAACACCATTGCTGTTCCATCTCCCTGTGGTTCTTTGTTCTGCACCAATTCAACTCTGTCAGCCTCTCTACATCTCCCCTATACACGCTCGAAGAGGTGATGGCCATGGCTGTCGGTCCCTGAGTCCCGTCGTCCTTTTGCACAACGCAGCAGCCCATGTGTAGGTCGTCATGCCAGTTGTGTTCAATCTCATCCAGGTAATGCTTGTATGATGCCGTGTCCAAGCGGATCGCAACAGTGTCTTCTCCATTCAACAACACCTTCATTCTATCAAGTATTCAACACCTATCAAGTATTCAACACCTTCATTCTATCAACAACACCTTCATTCTATCAGAGAGAATGGAGAATGGAAAAGTGCTGCTTTGGATCCACAGGTAAATACTAAAATGTTAAATATATCTGAAAACTAGTAAGAACACTAAGAACCTGTGAACCTGACTAAGTCATGTACGACCATGTTCAACAAAAGACACATAGATAGATGGTGTTTATTCCACTCTCTTGCAGAAAATACTGAATTAACAAGTGGTAAATAAAACAGTTAAAATACAATTTAAATGTCATTACATTATATATCATTATATATACACTCGATGAAGGATATAAAACTAATGATAATAAAACAGAAACTTATTTTAGTCAGCTATAGTTAAAATTTAACCTAGTTGCAGTCCATCTCATACTTAAATGTAAAAAAGGATTCAGTCCACTTGGCTTTCCATATCTTTCTTTCATAATGATATTGGCCAGATCTTAGGTTGTATCGCACTGTTCTCTCTTCTAATTTTGACCGTAGAAATGACAATGGGTGTTCATTCACAGTGCACATTTCTGACATCAGTTTTCTACACGTTCTCCTTCGATCAGCCAATAGAGACTCCTTAGTAAGCAGGAGTGCCTCATTGTACGTACAATCAGGATATATTATACAAATATCCTGGTATGTTTTGCCACACTTGCACTGCATATTCAAGAATTGGTCTAACAGTACTCTTATAAGAATAACTGACGGTTTTGCACCAGCCCATTTCATAAGTCTAAGGCCGTATAAACATTTGCTACCTTTCAAGACGATATAATCAATGTGATTATTCCATTTTAGGTCATCACTAAGTACAACACCTAATAGCTTATAGGTTGAAACCCGTTCAATCTCTTGATCACCGATAAATATTGGATTCTTTACAATATTCGGGTTAAGCATAAAGTTGAATAGCATTTCTTTGCATTTTCTTGGATTAAGTTTCATCATTTGGATGGAACAGAATTGATGGATGCCTCTAACGGTAAGGTCTAAAATACTAATCGAGTTTCTTTAACCAAAAATGATGATGTCATCGCAAACAATACCAGCACCTTCGATACCACTTGACTTGTTGGATGACATCTTGAAAGACTTTGGCAGCGGATGACATACCAAAAGTTAAGCAGGTGTAGTGGCAAAGGCCTCTGTGCATGGAAAACGTTGTGATATAGCGGCTTTCGGGTGTGAGTTCGAGTTGGTGGTAACTAGAGTTCAAATCAATTTTAGAGAAAACAGTGGCACCATTTAAATCATGAATTAGGTCATCAATAGTCAGTGTAAGATAGGGGTGCACCGGATTTCAAATCCGGCCGGATTTAACAAATTTTCCGGCATCCGGCCGGATACCGGATGCCGGATTTAAATTTCTGTTTTCACCTTAAAAAATTCGCCAAGAATGGGATAAACCATCAATTTGGCAGCTTTTAAGTTTAAAAAACACATATTATTATAAAATATTAAGTTATTAGCAAAAAAATACTACTTAAAAAAGGTTTAAACACAATCAAAAATCTAAACTGACACTAACTAAAAATAGTAAAAAACATAAACCACCATTTTGAATACTGATTTATCCACAATTGTCCCCATTACTGGTTTATTTTAAATCCGGCAAATCCTGGCGGAATTCCGGCCGGAATTTTTGTCCAAATCCGGTAAATCCGGTTCCGGCCGGATTTAAAAATTCCAAATCCGGTGCACCCCTACTGTAAGATGACGTTCACGAAGGATCACACAATTGGGTTGGGGAATATTGATACAAAGGCGAATCTCATCAGGGTTCTTCGGTTTTGGTGTCACAACGAGAGGGGACACCCGAGGAGTTGGGCCATCAACCGGTTCTATAATACCCTGGTGTTCAAGTTTGTCAAGTTCAGTATCAAGCTTTTTGCAAAGGTAGAACGGAATTCTCCGATGAGGTTGCATAACGGGGTACGGAGGGATCGATATTTCGTGGAGATATAACATAATGAAAGCTGATTATTCTGTGGAGATTTTGTGATGGCGTGATAAGCCTTTTCATCAATAACATTAATGCTGGCGCTGGAATCAATCAACACTTGAAGTGGTACATTTGCAATCATAACCTTGGCCTTCGGGGTGGTTAAATTACTGACTTGGGAAATAGCTACTGTGAAAAGATACTCATCATCAGAGGTGGGGTATTGTTGAGTATCGGTAACATGGCGAATCTTGCGTGAAGGGGGTTGATGTGGAAAGGAGTTAGGAGGGGTGGTTGAAAACGAGTGTTAAGGATGATTCATGAAGTGTGCGTCGACAAAGGTGAGATGAGGAGCAGTTGAGGATTATCTGCTATTTGATTTCTTTCTCAACAGAAGTAAATTCGCAAGTTGAGGCCAGTTGGCGCAGACAAGTGGTAAATTGATTGAGCGTCTCGGTTGTTGACGAGCTTGATGAAAGAGGAGGTTTCATAATCAACATTGTGGCGTAAAATGTTCGGTTAGGCGGTTCATCGCTTTTTTGTAGTCTTTCTCGTCACCGGTATCCATTAAGGTCTCGAATATATCAAATGCTGACGAGCCAATATAGTGCAAAAGAAGTGTGTCTCATCATCGATATCCATGGCAAGAAGAAAATTTTCAAAGAGTTTTTTCCATTTAGTCCAGCGTTGACCGGTCGTGGTGGGGTCGTCTTTAACATTGAACAGAGGAAATGGTGGTAAAGATGAGGCCTTAGCGCATGTGGAGATATTTTGATCCTCGTTGCCAATGTAGTGTTCTTATAGAATGATAATACGAGGCATGCTCTTTGAGTGGTTATAACAATACTCAATTTAATATCCATGGAATGCTAGCTATATACAAGTGACGTCACATAAGTAATGACGTCAGGTTATTACACACACCACAGCAGAAAGGAGACTGCCACCTATCGTGCATTTTAAAACTTTCATGTAGGCAGTAAGGACATGTAGGCAGTAACTTGTTCTTCCGTTTGACCAGTCACAGATTTTAGAGCTCCCTTGATTATATTCCTAATAGCTTAATTATGGCTACAAAGAAACTAAGGGAAGAAAACGAACTCCTACGATCGGAGATCGAAGGGTTAAAGAACCAACTATACAAGATAAGCGAAGATTTGAAAACACAACAAGCTACTGCAGCATCAAAGTCAAGCAGAACCGCTGAAGCGAAACAGGCAAAAGATACGATCGAACGAACGAACTCTGAGGAACGAGCAGAGGCTGTTGTCTTTATGAGCAAACAATATGATGATCTAGAAGTATTCCGTAAGCAAGCGACGCAAGATATTCAACAGATCACAAAAAAATTGGATTCAATCAGTAAAAAATGTGATGAGATTACTGAGGCCATCGAACTGGCCAAACAATATAGCTACCAATACAACATTAAGATCATGGGCGTACCGCAATTAAACGAGAAAGAATCGGCTGAAACTACAGCAAATCTTTGTATCAAGCTGTTTACGGCTATGGGCGTAACTGATGTATCTTTACAGGACATAGACATTGCACATTGTGTCCAATCTAGAAGACCTTCACAAAATTCCAACCCAATTATATGTAAATTTGTCCGTCGACTAGCTAAAGAAAAGATTATGGCGGCTCGGAAACATGCATTAGATAATATCACACCTGATCAGCTTGGTATTGAATTGGCCTATCCTTCAACTACACGAATTAGCATGTTTGACCATTTGACACCACGCCTACAAAACCTTCTGTATGAAACAAAAAGGTATAAAACGAGCAAGGGTTATAAGTTCTGCTGGGCAAGAAACAGTCAAGTTTATTTAAGAAAATCAGAGAACACTGGAGTAATCCGTATAAAAACACTGCAAGACCTGACCAACCTAATTGAACAGGAGTCATTAAGATAATCTGTTAACAATACCTCAGCTAAGTACTTAATTTTTCTTTGAATTTTAAATGATGAGTAGAACAGAAATCCATATTAATAGAACTATCCTGGCTCAATTACCTTTCTATGGTGTATATAGTGATGATGTTTTTATCGATCACTGTACCAGTGAAAGGTATTTGAACAAATTTACTAGCCTGTATGATCTAGACGTATTCAATCTTAATATTGAAACAGACGCTGATATTAATCCGGATCGAAATGCAATGAGCAACCATATTAAATGTAAATATTATTCTCCAGAGAGCTTTACTAAAATTGAAAAGGATCCATACGGCTCAAGTGATAGGCATTTTTCTTTTTTTCACAATAATGTATGTAGTCTGCGCAGAAACTTAGAACATTTGCAAACTCAAATATTGGATGAGCTTGATTTTTCATTTAGTGTAATAGGCATTACAGAAACGTGTATCAAACAAAACAATTTTAATGATTTCAACTATAATATTACTGGATATTCATTTGAATTTGTACCAACGCCTCTTGCTGCTGGAGGTGTTGGAATGTATATTAATAATCGATTTAATTATGTGGTCATTGAAAAGGCAATTAACCTAGCTTACCAAGCACTTTGGATTGAAATTGATATTCCAAAGAAAAGAAATATCATATGCTCAGTTATATACAGGCAGCATAATTTGCCTGAGGCGTTTCAAACATACTTTGAACAAAAATTAGAATATTATACCTCAAAAGGCAAGCATGTAGTTATCATGGGTGACTTCAACATAGATCTTTTAAAAATTGACCAATGCAACTATGCACATAATTTTATGCTATCTTTACAAAGTTGCTCGATGATCCCTAGCATTGATAAGCCTACACGTGTCCACAGAAATTCATCCAAGCTAATTGATAACATATTTATCAATAACCCTGATAATATATTAGCTAGTGGGAATATAATATCTGATGTGAGTGACCACTTTTCACAATTTTGTATTTTAGATTCTATAGCTAGCGTGAGGCAGAATATTTTTAAACACAAATATCGTGACTATTCACAATTTTCCGAAACTCTGTTTAATAATGAGCTCTCAGAAATAGACTGGGAGTCGATTTTAATGAATTCATCAGATAACCCAAACAAGGCATTTTCGACTTTCTTTAATAAATTAAACAAAACTCTAAATAAACATGCACCGCTTAAAACTATTTCAAAACGTAAACTGAAACAACCAATCAAACCATGGATAACGAAAGGGATAAGACGATCAATAAAGATTAAGAATAAGTTATTTCACTCTAATAATAACACAAAATACAAGTTATATCGTAACTATCTTGTAACTTTAATTCGGTCAAGTAAAAAGTTGTATTACAGTGATTATTTTAACTCCTATTACAATAACATGAGTAAAAAGTGGGAAGGAATAAGGGAAATACTAGGGCGCAATAGCAAAACTAAAAAGAATATCAATGCTGTTCGACAAGATTCAAATGCCCAATTAACATTTGATCCCACAAAGATATCAAACATAATAAACCATCATTTCGCTTCTTGTGGTCAACGATTAGCTGCAAAAATACCTCATTCTGAAAAACATTATTCAACATATCTTCCTGACCAAATCATGTACAATTCCGCCAATGTTTCCCAACAACAAGGGTCTTTTGCTTTTATCCCAGTAACAGCTCGAGATATTGAACTTGAAATTAAAACATTACCTGCCAAAAAGGCTGAAGGCCTGTATTCGTGCCCTTATCGAATCTTAAAAAGTGCCCAACATGTTATTAGCAAGCCTTTAGCAGATATCTTTAATTGCTCCATTGAAACTGGAATATATCCTAGCAAACTTAACAATTTACAAACCTGATGACGAAACTGACCCAAATAATTATCGCCCAATATCTCTTCTATCCTCATTCAATAAAATTTTTGAAAAAATTATGTATAAACGCTTACAAAGTTATCTAGCTGAGAAAGAATTTTTCTGTGATTCACAATATGGTTTCACCATTCAACCCAACATGCTATTCTTGATATGGTAAACAACATTCAACCCAACATGCTATTCTTGATATTATTAACAAAATTCAAGATAATATGGATAGAAAAATGTACTCCTGTGGTATATTTATTGACCTAAAAAAGGCATTTGACACGGTTGATCATGATATTCTGTTGGGTAAGCTAGATTATTATGGTATTAGAGTAGTAATCAGTAACTGGTTTTCTTCTTATCTTAAAAATCGCACGCAAACTACTTCAGTTGGAAACTGTGTATCTAACAAAGAAACTACCTTGTGTGGAGTACCCCAAAGCTCAGTTCTTGGACCTCTACTCTTTTTGATCTACATCAATGATATTTGTGAATCATCTGAGATTTTCAAATTCTTTCTTTTCGCTGATGATACTAACTTATTGTATGCTGATAAAGACCTAAAAATGCTTGAAACAGTTGTCAACGCTGAATTAAAGAAAGTCTGTGAATGGCTTGCAATAAACAAACTCACCCTTAATATAAGTAAATCAAATTTTGTAATTTTTCGACCATATCAGAAGTCATTGAATTTCCAGCCTGTAATTAAAATGTTTGATAATGATACCAAACAATATACATCACTTGAATGCAAAGAATATGTTAAGTACCTTGGAATTATTATCGACTGTAACTTGAACTGGAAGCATCACATAAATTATATTACATTAAAGATTAGCAAAACTGTAGGAATCATTTCTAAATTGAGATATTACATCCCAAATCATACCTTGTTAGATATTTATAGGTCATTGATTTCACCATATTTAACATATGGTGTAGTTGCTTGGGGAAATGCTGCTAAAGTACATATTCAAAAACTTCTTGTTTTACAAAAGCGTGCATTACGACTCATGAATTTTAAATCATTTCAAGATCACGCAATTCCTCTATTCCTTTCTACCTACATTCTTCCTGTAACTATGATCTATGTTAAAGAATCTGCTTACATGCTCTACAATATATTAAAAGGGGATGCGCCTGAAGCACTGCATAAATTATTTACCAAAACGTCTAATTATCATAACTATGATACAAGAATGGTTTCAAAAGATAACTTATATATCAATTCTTCTCGTCTGGAATTACAAAAGTGTTCATTTTCCAGAGTCGGTACTTTAATTTGGAATAGCATTGATCTCAATCTTCGCTCATCTCGTAAACAGACTTTTAAATCTAAAATACATCAAGCTCTTTTAACCATACTTCAAGATCAAAATGACTATGTTGACGTACCCATGATAATTGAAATGCTGCCCAATGTAACCGCGATATAATTTTCCGCTCATCATAACTTTCTAATTGCTTTCAAAAAGAATATATTTGTGTCATGAATAATATTTTTCATTTAAAAATTATCATAGCCAATCGGAATCTAAACTCTCGTTCTGTAAATAATTCATTTTACTTCTTCTCAATATAAATCAATATATATAATATTATTTAATTAGATTCATTTCCTGCCGCGATTAGCTTGCTATTGCAGGATTTGAATCTTGTATTTTGTCATGTATATTATTCAAATAAAGTTGTAAGTTGTATTGTATTGTATACCTTTGCAACAATAGTCTGAACTGTGGATGTTCCCAAGCCAACCAATTTGGAAGTGGTATAGTAGTAAATGCCTCTCGCGAGACGATAACGGAAAATAACAAATGGCATTCTGGTGCGATAGCATCTTCAAGTATGGACAAATTTTGCCCAGAATAAAAGTGAATGTAGCTTTTGATGTTCTAAACGTTCAGCAGTGCATGAGTTCCATACATGTTTCCCACCAACCATAATTTCTCTGTAGTCATGGCTTGAGCAATGAAAAATTAATTGATTTCTATTGGATGGGCAGGAAGCCTAATAAAGGAAGCCTCCTCGCCACAAGGTGAGCTAATAATAGAGCCTGATTTATGTCGACTTCATGTGTGATTTGCACAAAAGAATTGTGCTAATCTTCTATTATACATCTTGCAAAATAATTTATTTTGATTTTAATTCAAAATCCATGCACTTGTCCCAGACACTCAATCTAAGTAACATTTATTTAAGCATGTTATCTGAATCCCTGCCACTTTTATGTCACTCAATGACATACAATTAAGTTCTGCAAACGTTTGCTGAATTAGTTTAAGCTAAGTTATATATATTATAAATTTAAGTTAATGGGCAATGCTGTCCTCAAATTTAGTCTAATTTATATGACAATCGATTTGAATATTTTACATGCGGTACAAAGGTCACAGACCCACAGCTGTCATTTGTATCAAAGGTCATCTTTGTATTGGCAAACCATACACGTGCACATCTCATGACCAAGCAGATAAACCGCGGGCGAAATGAAAATTTAACTACCTTTGATCTGGTATAAAATTCTGGCATAACATTTGCCAGAACGATATATTTTCTGTTTGTAATGCAATAGAGTTATATTTCACAATTTGCATGATTTTCGAATCGACTCAAAGTTCAAAGTTCAAGCAGAATCAATTTTAGAGTACTCGTTGTATATTTGGGAATGCATTTTCATCCTAACCTAATTTTATAATTCCTTTGGTTAAAATCCAGTAGTGGTTAGAATTACATAACCTATAACTGAGCAAAGGCTTGGAAAGAGAGCCCATGTATGCAAGAAATATTAATTATAATTTTCCATGCTGTGTAGTTGGATGATTTGGGAGCATTTTAATTTAAAATAATAACTCGGCAGTCAGTTTTCACACACACATTTGGCACTATATATATCATATATGTTTGTTTACCTATAATATACTATTACTATATAATCTAGCTATAATTCTGTTTCAACTGAGTTTGAACTTAATTTCCACCCAACCTCGTACCCAGAGTCTGGCCAAAACTTTGACGCATTTGTGCTTTTCAATGGAACAAGACGCCTGCTCAGGCATTCGCACTTCACTCAAAATAACGACAGTGTGATGCATGCCTGGAATATGAGAGCAGTCACATAAGCAATATTGCTCGTTCTCGAGGGCAAAAATTTAGCTATTGCTACCAATACAATTTAGACCAGCTATGAAATGGAGACAGTGATAGGCTACATGGCATCTCCAGTGCTGTAATATCATAATTATATAGCGCTACTATCTATATACTTTGTAGTATACTTTAATAATTCAATGTTGTGTTGCATTGCAATTGAATTTTCTTTTCTTGAAGAAAATACAGTAGAGACAGTTGTATATTGATGATGTACTGTACTCTAAAAATCACGATGCCGATATATAAAATCAGTCAATACTCGATAGACACAATACTCGATAGTCAATGTTCAATAAAAATGTCATGTGTGTTTTACAATAGTTTAAATAGACTGTAAAAGCTTGAATATTTTTATAATGAACGGTAAAATAAGACCACTGACTGGCACCGTGTATATTTATTTATTTTATCAGTATTGCAACGCTTTCGATCTGTGAGGGAAACACAATGATAATACAGTATAAACAATAAACATTGTTGCCAATTTCATATCTGTATAATAAAACTAAGGATTTCAAATAATTCAAAACGTCTGTAGTGTAGACAGGTGAGGACCCAACCAATGCAATACCGAATAAACCAAGAAACTGTACTATATAAATACTTTCCTTTACGATACGTTGAAAAATTCAAGGAAACTGCAACAATATTAAACAAAAAAGTCAAAAATATGTTCTGTCTGTTATACGTGACTGCCATTTCACGATCGTTTTCCCGACCGGAAAACAGACAAACGGTATTATTTTAATTAATACACTTTCTCATTCGGGAAGTGTAACAAACTTTTATGCCAACATAGGCTCTATTCCAAGATTTATGTCTCACAACTGGAAATGCTCTAATCCTCTATGCTTAATTGGTTACTTCACCAAGCAAACAATTTGGATAGACAAAGAGTTCGGCAAATACTGGGTCTCCTCAAAAACACTTAAAACTGAGTGAAAGAATAGATGAATTTAAAAAAAAGTAAAATAAATAAAATTGCCAAGATAGAGCTTTGTTTGTCGCGTTACCAACGCTCCTATTGAGAAGTTGTAACATAGAAGCTTTGTGGGGAAGCTGCTGGTAAATTGTCTTGGCCCCATTCAGGTTTCCTGTATTGCAGGTTTTTCCTGGCCTCCCTGACTATCCAGCTGTAGTATAAGCGATGGTAATTCTCAAACATGTACAAGCCTTACTATCATCTGGCAAAAGCTGTCCTCTATATGAATACAGCTGTTGTAGGAGTGGGATTGTTCGTCTATGGGGAATACGCTCAAGTGTCAGATACACTTTATTGTATTTGTGGGGTTGAAGTGCTTCCAAAGGTCACCTTCATGCCCATAGACTCATTCAATGTAAATATAATCGGCCGAGTTATAGGAACTGTCCAAGGGACCCTTACCCCTTGGTTCAGGTTAATAAGGTCAGAGGGGGTCGCTACCCTTCTGGCATGTGCTCTGGGGACCCTTACCCCCAGGGCAGCCCTAGGGACCATTACCCCTAGGGTTATCAGAGCGGGCCTTATATATACCCCGCAGGATGAAATATAAGGCCATAAAGAGTCTATTGGGTTAAATATACATATAATGTGACACTTATTGTAACAGGAGTACTTCACCCCCATAACCCATTCTCCCACACAAAAGCTGTCTGTGTCTACTCTTAATTCTTAGCTCAGTTAGCTGGCAGAAGAGCAATTGTTCCATTAATGTCAGAACATTTGATTGTTTACGCTTTTTCTTGTGTTTGTAATGAATTAGGATGTAATTCCCTAATATTTGCATTTATAGATAATTATAATAACATAACAATCATCCAGCTTTTTATGAGAGCACTGATTTTGTATGAATCCAGCTTGTTTATTGGTAATCATATTTTAAAATGTTTAAAAACACTTATCTCTATAGTCATGCCCAGAATGTGATTAAAACAGCCTGTGGCTACGAGAAAATGTGCAGGCGAAGAATGGTGGCATCATATTTAAGGTGAAACCGTGAAAGAATTGGAAACAATTAGAAACAAAATCACACATCAATGACAGACAGAAAATGGAATTGTGTGTTAGTGGTTTGCCATGCTTATCCAAGCATTATAAAACTAGAAACCTGATTCAATGGCATTCGTGATTCAACTAGATTATCATCAATTAAGCCTGGTTTCCATGGCACCAACCTTCTGTGGGAATGTCGCCCTAAACAAAACTAAAAGCCCTAACATTCTTACTTCCCATTTTAAGGCTGATCCATCACAATTGTGACATCATTATCTTAACACCTTGTAAACACACATTGGGGCACACAGTGTGCACATATGGCACAGAAGGATTTGCACAAAGCTTGATTGGAACCAGCTCTTCTGTTTGATCGTCACATGACAGGCCATTGTGGATCTTTTTGAGAGATCACACCTGTCAAAAATGCATGCAAAAGCACCAATATGCTTCAACTTTAATCCTGTTTCTACTAAATTTCTCACGAACATAGAACATATCATTATTACAAATTGTATGTTTTTTGTTTTTGGAATTGCTACTTTTTGGCGATAAAATTATGTCACAAACTTGGCGCCAAAAATTTTAAAATAAGTTATTGGTGATTTTGTGCATATATTTAGAAGAGCAGACTAAGAGTATCTTAAAATTGAAGTCAGTTTCTGCTGGCGGTATAATATTTGCCAAAATCAGAATAAAATCATGGCTAGAAATCTCAGACAGTCAGTGTTTCTGTTCGCGGGCGCAAAAAATGTTCCATGTGTGTGTGTGACTTGTAGTAAACATAAAAATCGACAATGTCTTTTTACAAAGAGTTGAATAACTTAAGCACAGCTGATTTTGATGAATATTCAACGAGAACCAATATTAAAAGTCCGTAAAGTCATCACACGAGTTGTACGTTCGTAAATTTATATGCTTCTGTTCATAACTATACTCTCATATTTTCTCGGCAATCTCTGGTGACAAATGTGTTTTATCAAAGATATAAACGCTGAAATATATTGAAATTGTATTACAGGCAGATTATGTAAAATGGAAAAATTATTCCAGCCTGGAAAACACTTGGGAGCCAGAGGAGAACCTGAATGCTGCTGCAATAAGGTAACATTGCTTTGTTTTAAAGTTTATTAACTTTAGCTGTTAACACGATTATAAACATTATATGCAAATAAGAAAACAACTCGGGAACACTGTAGAATTTGTTGTTTTTATATACAGACTGGCGGCTTTGTGCTAGTTAGACTGTTGGTCAAGCTCAACCTCATCGCCATGGTCTTTCTTCTTGAAAGGGAGCTATTCTTAAAATGTATTTAATATTTTGTATTTCACTTCAGAGCTTTTGAAAACCCAGCACCAGCAGAGGATATGATTCAGGATGCAAGGGATTCCTTGGCATGCGGCATCCTGGAACAACTGAAATTAAAAAGTATGCTGCCAACAGTCATTCCTTTTCGGCATGATGTATTTCGCTAGAGGGAGATCAGCAATGAAAGAGGTGCTGTTCTCTTGGAAGAGTCAGATTTGCAATTTCCCAGGGGATTGGGACAAGATAGAGGACTCTATAGGAGATGGCTTGAAGATAGAATTTGCAGTCAAGCTTCAACCATTCCTCTCATGGAGCCCTAAAACCTACATCCTTAAGGATGGTCAAGTTGTTGTGCACCCCAGGTATCGGCCTGAGAAACTGAGTATCTCAATTTGTAAAAATGCTTTTAGATGATCTTATAATTACTGTATATATTATTAATTTATTTTTTTAGAGTAATACCCTGTACATAATATGCTTAACCCATTTCTGCCAAAGACTTAGGCACAACTTTTACCAAACCCCAAGAGAGTGTCACTCTGAGAAACTTATTTAATTAAAGGCACACAATCACTGGTTGAGCGATTTTATTTAAATAGTGTGATATTGGCCAATTACAAATCAACAAACTTGAATTTGTTCCAGAACTATTGATTCAAGTTTAAATTTTGAACATATCCTAACATATCGTACTAAATAGCATCGCTCAAACGGTGCCTGTGTACCTTTAAAGTTTTACATATGTTAATTAATTCTGCTGCTTTTGGTAAGCTTGCCTCGACAGTATTGATATTTAATAAACATCAGCATTTGATTCTGTGACAAAACATGGCCTGTCTCGGCCGAAATGGGTTAATTCCAACTAACCAACTAGTATTATATTTTGTTGATTTTTAATTTATAATGGATTATATATAAATGTATGCAAATATGGTATTTCAACTGTCCCTTCTTCTTTTGTTTTTAATCTCAACTTCCTAGTAATTATTATCCTTTTTGTTGTATGACCTCCTTGTTCGCTTGCTTCCGTGCAATTCCCACCATCTAAACTCTAGTTGGAGGACATTGTTATTTGATTTATGTAGAATGACACTCCTTGCCACATCATTGTTTTTCTCAACCCCCTGGCTGGTGAAAAATTTAACAGAATGATACTTTTTCACAAAAACAGGTACATGATACACAAGTGCATGCATGTATGGAGTTACTTCTGCTCTTCTATATCCTTTGTGAATAGAGGAGTCCCTTAATGAGGTAAAAAGTTTGATCCATTCTTTTGATTTTTCCAAACAATCATTACAAATCTCATCTGTTGTATGTTTAACAGTTATCATTTCGTAGATTTCATTAAAATGTTTTCATATTTTACTGACAACTTCACATGTACCCGGCATTAGACAATTGGCAAATTTGTCCACACCAAGCAGGCTTGTAAAGTCATATTGCCCAGATCGCCTCCCATCTTCATTTTTTCTTTTCCCAAATGTCAAAACTGACCCCACATGACCTTGTTGCTGAAGTGTTGTAAGATGAGTGTTACTTCTTTCGCTTTTTTTTTTGTTAAAATGTTCTTTCTGATCCCAGGAAATTGCTTCCTGGATAATATTATTTAACAAAACATCCATTACTCATAGTAACAAGTGTAACTCATCTAGTACAACATAATCTAAATCAATATTAATATGTGGCTTATGGTCACAAGAGAACTTGTCCTGTGTACCCTTTTTCTCTGCCATGTTTATGATTTCTTGCAGCGTGCGTTGTGTGTTTGATTGGGATAGAGTTATAATGAGTTAAGTCCTTGGCCATTTTCCATTGGTTATCCTTGTGGATTTTGCACCAAACACATGCAAAATTGGATGTTGCTGCTTTCATGCCCATCATAATTAATAAAAATTTTGTAGTCTCCCCCAGGAAAAACACAAGATTTAATCTTCAGTTATTGATGGTGATCTCACCCATCCGGATTAGATTGTTAATCTCCTGGAAAATCATCCCAAATGAGTCCTGTAGTGTTTCATAGCTTTCTGATCCCTTCACAATAGCAAATGTATGGTTTCCACTAGCAGACATTACATCATCTTGATTTTGAAGTAGTGAGAATGACAGCAAAATGAAACTGGAGTTTCTTGTCATTTGTGCCCCATCACCGGAGATTTTAACCTGGACATTCTCTTTACTCCAATCTACCTCGTCGTGTAATTTGATGAATTCATCAATCGGTGAATGATATTTGGGCACCATCAGCTTTACCCAGGGTAGGCACAACATTACTGATATTATTTAGTTGCCCTCTTCTCTGCTTGACAAGGTAAGACTTTGGCAGACCATCGATAATCATTGTTAGTTCATGATAAAATGAGTCTCCAACACAAAATTTGTCCAGAAGAAACAATACTTGTTCTACTGTTTTTTGGTCATGACTAGATAAACTATCAAAACCCTTAGTACTGTTGTGCCTGATTAAACAAGATCGAACAGAAAAAACCGCCACAGAAAAGTAAAACAAACTTCGTCTACAAACACGCTTTATTTACTAAAATCACACACTCAATCACATTACAATTGTCTTTTTATATCCACTGTCGATTTGCATAACCTAATTAGATTTCACACCTATATAGTTTTATTGTTCTATTTACAAATTTACATAGTAACACATAATACACACATAACACACAATTCAGGGGTGGAAAAAAAATTTATTTTCTGGGACCGCAATGAAAAGTGGGAAAATTTTCTGTGAGTTGTCGACACAAATCCTGTATAATTTAAATTAATTAAAGACTAAAATTTTTCTATTGGCATATATTTAAGGTCAAAGTCATGGTCATGAAAAGGGCCTTTTTAATCATTTTTTTTTAAATGAAGGTCAAGGTCACCAAAAAAGGGGCATTTTAACACTTTTTATTTAAACATGAACTCCAATATCAATTTCGTATTATTTACAACTATACATCTACTTAAAATGTTCACTCTAAAATGTCTGGGTTTCTTCTTCTAATAGCTTGGATCCTGTTCCTCAACTGGTCCCGTGTGGCTGATGATTCAGGTACTCTTAGGCTAAAGGAACGACACACAGACACCCAGTCTATGCATCTCTGTTCTCCAACACGTCTGCCTCACTAGTTCGAGGAGGATGTCGTCAGAGTCTTGTGGTGGTGGTCGGTGAGGAGGGTTAGGGTCATGCTGTGCCAGAAGATCTAGGACCTGGACTATATCAGGTGGTGGAGGTCGTTGATTTAGTTTTCCGCTCTTACTTGCGTTCTGAATCAATAACTTCAGATCTCCATACACTCGTTTTTCGGCCATAGTAAGCTCTCTTTGCACGTGGTGGTTCATGACACCGTTTCTTGTTAGTATTGGCTGTACATTCACGTTAACCTTCGACTAGCTCACATTTATGATGAAACTTTGAGGGTGGAACATTTGGTGTTCTAGCAGGTGGTTCATGGCATTGGTCAGAAGCGTCATTCTGATGGGGATCTCTTTGCGCAAACCACTGACAAGGTTTGGCTTAGAGGTGAGGACATGGAGGATCGATGCCAGCCTCTGGGAGAGATTAACTCCTTGATGGGTGTTTATGGGCGAGGTGATGGGTTCAGGTTAGGCTTTACCAGAGGTAATGAAATCAACTGATAATGACACCGTGATAAAATTATCAAAATTTATGTAAAGTCATGCTAATTGTTATGAATCGTGATAATAGTTATGATTTTCCCTTTATTTAACCCAACACCATAATTGTTCAACTAACAAAAAACTAGATTACATAAATATTTAAAGCTCAAATCACGTGATCAATCGATGTTCCCCTAGCTATGTACAAACAAAACAGTTAATTATAAAATACTTGAGTTCATGCAATTATAAATGTCAATCTACTTATCTAATCAATCCAGATGTCTCTAAAACAGAAATTCCTGCAATTCTTAATTATATTTTTACCACAGTATCTGACACTAATAAAGTCATTTGTTACTGTTACTACTTCCTATAGAAATAAAAATTGGGAATCGAAATTAAGGACGGAGGGGAACGTTGCGGATAGCAAATTTTGGAACCAGGGCAGTGGTAGAATACAAAGCCAACAAAGGGCCAAAGGGGGTAGAACAAGGTTGCCTGCAAATGAGGCTACATTCCGCTATCAAAGTTCTTTTGTAAATTATTTTGGGGGCACCCCACCCCCTACACCTAGTGTCTGTCCCTGAACAAAATGGCTATTTATTGGTACAGTTACTCTCTTTCTTTCTACTCTTTTTCTTTCCTTTTTTCTTTCTTTCCTTTTCCTTCTTTTCTTTCTTTCCTTTTCCTTCTTTTCTTTCTTTCCCTCTTTTTCTTCCTCCTTTCTTTCTGCCAGCATAAAAAATTTTCTGGGACCAATGGTCCGCTGTATTTTCCACCCCTGACACACATAATAGTCTTTTATCCCGATTGGTCTCTGGCACTACATACCATCAGCTGGAATACAAGTGTTGTCAACAGAAAGACAATACTATCCCTGTTTGTTGTTCTCTAGCTTTCAACTCTGTCAACTCTAGGCCAAATGATTTCATAAACCATAGTGCAAGTTTTGTTTGAGACATGAAAGTATTTAGAGTTCTTGATTTTTTGGCAACATGGGCAACATCTTTGCCTTGATTTTTAAAATTGTGCTTTTGTTCAAGACAGTCCATATAATCTAACAGTTCCTTGTTTACTTCATTTAAATTTTTAATTTCCTCACTCTCTTGGATAGCAGAAACGATCTCCAGATAAAGCTTTTCTTTCTCCTCATGAAGATCCTGGTAACTTTGTTTCCACTTTTCAAGTTCATCACAAATGTTCTCATTTTCTCTTTGCAACTCTTTTACAGAAATGGTCATACCCTCAAGTAGGTGAAATCGTCTTATACAGGAATCAAGTTCCTTCCTCTTGTGTCCCCCATTTGCCTTGTTGTAAGCAGATTTTACCATTCTGGCAAACTTAAGCAGAGAAGCATTGACTTCACTTCTGATGGTTTTGTCTTCCGTTATTCCAAAGGCACTACCAGGGATTGAAAGCTTGAATAAGTCGACATAATCGATATTATCTTGACATGGGCAGGTATTCTCATTCTCGCCAGCTCTATGTTCTTCAGCTATTTTCTGCATTTCGTTCTGTTTTACCATGTATTTCTGCCATACCTTCAAAAGAGGGTATGGAATACCCACAACAAAAAGGACTGGCCTTGCATTAGCTTTTGCTGTATATGCTAATGAGGGTTCTTCCATGCATAATTTCATTAAGTATGGAATCATTTAGAGGAATATCAGACATTGTTAAGACACGTTTCTTGCCATGGAAGTTGTATCAGTTTCAAAACAAAATATATCCGAATATCAGTTCAATTAAATTTCAGAAATAAAACTGTTTTCAGCCTGTTCACCGTAATAGTGTTGCAGTGTTTCTTGTATGCACACGCTTTCAAAATGGCTTCTTGTATTGACTTTATTGGTTTTTTACAAAGTTGTTTTTCTCGATTTCTACTTGGAATTTAAACACAATAACGGAATGTCTCTTTCACCAGACTTTAAAAATAGTTTCTGTTTAGCATTAATTTCTTCAGGAAATGGCTGAGGAATTTGGTACAATGAAATGTAAAACTATATTGTTCGAAATAAAGTTTTAATATAAACACTTTTTACTTTTATACAATTTTTGAAAACACAATACAGTGGTCAGAACATCATACAGCACAATGAAAACATGACATATCAAAAGAAATAGTATCGTACAAATTGGGAAATCTATAGCATACAAAATAAAATGGATTTAAAGAATATCACGGCAAGGTTTTCCCCAAAAGTCGGGATGGTTTTTGCTATTCAGTATTTGTTTGAAGTGAATGTTTCAGAGTTTTAAATAAGTTTTAAATTGTCTGTGAATATGTTTGACACAGTAAAATAACAAAGGAATCCTACCTTTGAAGTTAAATACGACATTTTGTGCTTCTTTCGTTTTCTGGGGACGATTTTTTCAATATTTTGTCGATTTTGAAACCAAATTTGCGGAATCTTTCTTTTTCAAAAAAGCATTATTTACTACCCAGGTGGTAAATAATGCCTCAGATTTACTAGTCAGCTAGCCAATCAGAATGTGCGAAAGCTCATTTGATATGCAAAATTTATACTAAAAGCTTATATTGTGAGGAAATATTGTGAATTGAATTCAGTCGGGCCGGATAATGGCAAATCGTGAGGGTCTAAATATTTTCAGGTATTGTGTATTATTTGTAGATGTGTGCACCTTGCAAATCATGCAGTGATCGGTAGTGCGTATCAATTTTACAATTATATAGTAAAAAGGCTCAGTATTTCCGCCATCTTGGTTTTGTCAAATTTGTTATTTGTGTGCATAATTATACTAATTGTCTGCCATCTTGTCCGAGATTTCTAGCCATGTGTACTATACATAAACAGACCTGCAATGCAAGTAAGCTTAACAAACAAAATACATTTTGGTTTTCACCTATTTCCAACAATCAAACAGATGTTACGTCATTTGATAAATTTCTAAAGTTGTTTCTTTAGGGTTAGAGTTGGGGTTAAAAAAACAACAAATAAAACCAAATATATCTATAGATATATTAATAATTTTTCTAGCTACTTCTTGCATACCACTGGCTCAACCTACTGGCACAGCAAAAATTGCAAGTGCAAACAGGCCTAAAGACATTTGTAATCATCTTGTCATGCTCTACATACATAATTTGCCTAGAACTAATAGTGGTGTCACCTCCACAGAATAAACACAGTCTGGTTCACTGACATACATAACAGAAATTTCATCATTTTCAATTGTGGACGACTGTATGTCTGCCGAATACCAGCCTGGTTTCCATCCAGAATCTCTGCTGATGTCCATCATATTTTACATTGGAGCCAACTTAGAAATAATCTTCATAATGAACTTCCTTACTACCAGTTTTGTTTTCCATTGTGTTTTCATCCTTATGTTGGAACTGGAACTTGTTTTATGGTTCAGGTATATTAATAAAGTTTCAAATAAGTTCTCTAAGTTTTCCTTGGAGACACCATATGGAATTGGTATTTGGGATTTCTTTGCTAAAGTCGTTAAAGAATAAATTAGTCATTAGGACAACTGCATTTACCCTGCTCTGGTGAAAGGAAATGGGTTTCCATAATTTTCCAGGATATTGAACCGGCTGGATATCTCCACACACTATGGATTTTGCATCTCTGGAATTAATAACATTGTCATTTGGTGTTTTTCTGCTTCCTCTGACATAAAATTTACCGCTTTAGTGGACCAATGAAGATTCATTATTAAATGAAAACTGCATCACATGGTGGGTGTTTTAGTGATATCCTGATGTTAATGTTCTTTCCTGTTCTTTTTGCAGCAAAAGAGTTGTCCTTATTAGGTGTTTGTGTAATTGGAGCAAGACCAACAATAAAATGGAAAAGTGCAAACAGTGTTGCGCCTCATTGGTCATGTCACTTTGTATCATTCTAGAAGTTTTTCAATGTCTTGGAATTGAAGCAAAAATTTCCCTCTAGCTCATTCTTGCATGCCATATTTGCATCTTTGTTCTTCACATTTGAAAGCTTGGCTACAAAATTTGTGCCAGTAGCTGTTGCAAAAAGACCCTTAGTCAAGTCTTGATCTTTCTTTGTGTCCGAAAATCTTAACGTTGTGTTAAAGAGGTCGCCAATCACATTTTATATGTGACTGTTGCTTGCTCTGCTTACATCCTCTAACTTCTTAACATCCGCATAGAAGTTTTCATGTTTTTCTACAAAAAATATGGTTTCATGCAAATGTATTTGGTGAAAGAACTGCCAATAATTCAGTAGGTTTAGATTATTCAGTATGTTTTCTTTGTGTGTGTGTTATACACAGTCCCAAGGTGTTTTGCAATTATAATAGGACCATTTTTTAAGAAATATTTCCCGACTTCAAGAATAATTCTATATTTTTCTTTAAATGTTCATTTGTTCTAAATGTAATCTTTCATTCCAAATCCACAATATTCTTTTGTAAATATCTGTCGGCCTGTACAATTATATTTAGACTGTTGTTTTTAGAGGGTAACTTTCCGCATCTCTTATACAATTGTTTTGATAGTCTGGGGAAAAATAACTGAATTTTGGCTTGTTTCAGCAAGTGCCTTCATTCAAATCATCATCAGTACATGTTATTATGAAATCTCATGTTTTCAAGAAACTTGGAAGAACTCAGAAATAAAATCGACAAAGACGAGTTGCTAGAAGGGAAGTTTACATTTACCGGTGTTACCCATCAAGAGGAAAAAAACAACGCAATTGAAGATGTGGTACTCTTCGATGATGAGCATGGCGAAAACAGCAACAGAAAAGTTGTCAAAAAACAGGTAACGAGAGCTGAAGAGTGCAAAGTGAGAGACATTTGTACTGGATACACTGCAAAAACGCCCAGTTCTTCCAACGAAGTTGAAGAATGGAAATCTGCTTTCAGGTATCAAATCGCCGTGGTTAGAATGGGCAAAGTTGGAAAGGCAAGCGGAATGCGTTCTGAATATTTGACATGCTGGAACAAATGAGTAAAGGAATTGTGTCAACAAATCGCAAATGCATCGAGAAAGAAAATACCTCACAAGTAGATGAAGAATGGAGGAAATAACAAAACAGCATTCTAAGTGCAGAATCAAGCATTTTGGGGAAAAATCTGTGGAAAGTCTCCTGAAGGACTGAAGCCAGGCACTTTGGACACCAACATGAAAGCAATTGATGACGCACAAAGTGATCTAGAAACAACCGAAAAGATGCTGGCAAACAAAGACATTTCAGCAGTTGAGAAACATTGTCATTGCCAATGTCATGTACAAATATCATAACTTGTTGCCACCAATGTTCAACAATTTCTTTACTCCTGTATGCAATGTTCACTCTCAAAATACTAGGCTTGCTTCTAAATTAACATATATACTACCAAAAGCAAGAACAAATTTCGGAATTTTCAATATCAGATATCAAGGCACAAAAAATATGGAATTCTTTATATGAATCATATAAAGACTTGTTGATTTCGCAATTTAAATATAAACTTAGAATCGATTTTCTTGGAAAGTATTCATTCAGTTTCCAACTTTTTCTATATGTTATCGGGAGTCAGGACTCCTTTCTCGATCTTTTAAAAGTTATTTGTTATATAACTATATTGTTAATTTTCATAATTTTTTCATCTTTTATTTGGTTCCCTGATATTTATATAGCCCTGTGGTTATTTCAGGGAGCCAGCTCCCTTTCAAATCTTCTCTTTAGAAAACAATTACTCACAGAACACAAAATATATTTTACTAATAATAATATAATGCTAACAAATATAAATAATTTATTTGTGTATATATAATATAATTGTAATTTAAAAGGAGCAAATAAATCTTGTCTTGTCTTGTCTTGTCAATCAAAAACGTGCAGGATCACATTTGAAGCATGCCCAGGAATCCACGAGAAAGAAGAAACAAAAAACAGACTGACCATATAGTAGTGCTTTTGCCGATTGAGAGTCTTATAACTGTGGTTCAACATATGTGATGTCAACATATATAAACATGAATTGCATACCATGAAAATGCAGGCTTTATAGGTTTTCTTAATTCAAATAGCATGTGAGAATGAGATTTGACATCAATTAATATCATTGATCAATTGTTGTAAAAATTAGTATTACAAATATAGACAATAAACATATACCCGAATGTTGAATAAAAAATGATTTTTTAAAAAATATTACCGTCAATATGATATTGGAGCAACTATATATTGCTTGGTTTTTGAAAACAATATGTTAGCTTTGATTCACTATTTAAAACATGAGCAGCAGTGTTTTATATCTGATAAAACACTGCTGCTCATGTTTTAAATAGCACTTCAAAACAATTGATATAGTAAGTTCATTGGCGAAGTATTTCAAAAAATATGTTATTGTAACTTGAGAAAATTAAACTTAAAGTTTGTGTAAATCAAGGGAAATCTCTATTACATCCACCAATACCGACACACTTGTGATTTTTCTTTGTGTTTTCCTCATGAATTGTTAATGATTTTTTGAAATATACAGGGTGTATAAAGGGAGTCCTCACATGAAGTGTAAATTTCAAAGTGAATATGAAAGTTACACGTTTATACTTGCATTCTTTTGAAATCACGATCTTTTGGCTATTTTATATATTTTATTTTATAAAATTTGGAGTTATTGATGGGGAGCTGTGTCAATTTAAGTGCAATTGAAAAATTAAAAAAAGTACATGTGTTGAATCGACAATTTATTTAAATGTCCCAAAAAATAAGTTGGAAGTACACATTTACTCAACGTGGCCTCCATTTCTAAGTTCACACTAGTGCTGTGCGCCGGAGTTGCCGGAGCCGGAGTTCTGCCGGAGCTCCGGTGGTTTTTTCCGACGCCGGAGCAGAATTTTGTATGCCGGAGCCCGGAGCCGGAGTTACGTTTTCCCAGCTCCGGCAAAATTACAAGAAAACAATATGAAATGAGACAAATGTCAAACGATTGTTAGTTACTGCAAACTGCCAATTGCTGTTAATGAATTAATCATAGACTCAAACTGCCACAGCCCATAGGAACAGCGTCGAAAAGCTGTAATACGATCGCAAGTTACAAACGTCATGCTTTCACGAAGCCATCTGACTTAGCCCTACATACTATAGTCTGTGTATTCATTCCTTGTAGATAACGAAAAAGTACAAAACAAATAAATATCAACCTTTTGAAAATGACAGAGTACTTTGTTTGCGTGCGAACAATTGCACTGTGGAGTCTGAGAGTGTTAGCATCATGCCTCGCGTCATGCCTCGTGTCAAAGATTTTTCGAGGCTGGTTTCCATATAGATATTTTCTGTGTGGTTAAGTGTTTTCACTGTTTTGTTTCCTGAGTTATGTTATCTGATAATTAGGAAGCGCGAAAAGGGTTATTGATAATAATATTAATAAATGTTCTCTGATCGTAAAACATTTATTTAATATTTTATGATGTGGCCGGAGCTCAGAGCTGTAATTCGGTCGGAGCCGGAGATGAAAAACCGGAGTTTGCACAGCACTAGTTCACACAAGTTCCGTTCTTTGTCTCATATCCAAGACAACTCTTCTTCCCGAGTTTCCTTTATTTTGATTTAAACTTTATGGGGTGGCTTTTCCATTCAATGCATGTAGCCGGTATTTGTTGACATTACGCCAGACGCTCGATGAAGACTACGCCCTGGAAAAGCTATTTGAAATTGTCTTAACACTGCAACAACGCTTTTTGTTTTGAAATACTTTTCAACAGGGGCGGATCTAGACCGATGCCAACGATATGAATGCATCGGTCAAAATTGAGAAATCATATGTTGCTTGAAATATTATATAGACATATTATGCTGTCGTTTAGTCAAGCACTCAGTAATAGAATATCTTTGAATTTCTCCAGCTATCAAACCGCAAAGATTTGCTTAAACTTGACTCCATGTCAGGAATACACTTTATGTCTTTGCCTTCCTGCTTTTCACGAGGTGTTGCATTTAACGAGCTCAGTTTACTGGCAAAACAAAACACTCGACTTTATTTAAAATCTTGTCATTTAATTAGAAATATCATAAAATCATTAAAATTGATAATTTGAGTTAATAACTTGAGTCTGTTAATGTTCATTGCCAGTAAAGGTGGCAGGACTACACGCCAAAGACTACGCCATTGAAGTCAGTCGAACGTAAATCGGGGAGTCTCCCCACCCGAGGAAAACGCAACACCCACTAGCAAAGAGCATTTATTTATAATGTTTTATAGCGAGTCAAAGTACACCGCAGTAACCCCTGTTAACTGTAGTGTAGGCCGATCGAAAGCAGTCGCCTCTGTGAAACCACTATGAGTAGTAGCATAATGTTGTAAATAGAGCCCTTCAATACTAAACATCTAACAGTCGCCCCTGCTGACTGTTGTTAACACAACCACTAAACATTTAACAGTCGCCCCTGCTAACTGTTGTTCACACACAGAAAGGAATAAAATAGTCAGAAATAACAGTTTAATTTACGTGAATAATTACTAATGAAC